AATTAAGTTCTAAAACAGTGTTGCAACCGGTAGGATTTTCTCTAGACTGGTACCGGTCAGACCGGACCGGACCGGTCAGTAGACTGGCATGAGTTATTGTTGACTTTTCTCATCTTATATGAGTCATAGCTCACACTGAAACACTACACTAACTACCTAGGACTTCTGCTTCATCACTGAGGAGCATTTCTGAAGCATGATTGTCAATATACACTGAAGAATGTGGCAAGAACTTTGAACCTATCTTCCTAACTGGTTCGAAAAATTGTGGAAAACTTGCTTCTTGATGCTCTTTTAACCTGTCGACAGAGATTTCGGTATCTTAAACGATTTGGGAGCTTCTCTGACATGATAAATTTTCATTCTGGGCATGGCCTGTGAACTAGATAATAAACTTTCCTATAAAGGAATAGCAAAGACTCTACACTTCAGTTTAGTTAGAAGCTATATTAAAGCTATTCTTTGTAAATTCTTAGCTGTACAGAGTCCAATATTGGAATATCTCGCGGACCTATTAATTTCAGTTCACTTCATATAAGACCGCCTGTTAATAAAGATCCAAAGCTTCGTTTTGCTTCACTATTACTTAAACATCCAGGAGCTATGGACTTTTTGAGATTCAGTATCATACAGTCTTAAATAAAATAGATTCAAAGTATCATACTCTTATCAGATGTTGATAGTAGAATAGAAACACACATGGAGCTCTACAGGATTGCTTTGATAGGAGGACGTAATATTAATAGTGCAAAATCGAAGTCAATATGTCATAAATTACATTGACGAATGGTGCTTCCATTTTATTTCGATCATAGAGTCTAATAATAAAGTGTCTGGGTAAAATAAAAGACGTGTATTTTTATGAATATTCACTTAATATAAACACTCAAATCGATGTTGTTTCTTAGAAATTTTCATGAATCCTAGTAAAACTAGTTTAACATACAAAATAAGCACTTTCACGATCTATTTTTGCAAAAAATACGCAAAAAATTCGCGAAAAAATAGAAAAAATTTCTAGACCGGTTGGTCACCGGCCGTTTGCCACTACCGATTGCAACACTGTTCTAAAAATCGGTGACCTAGATAAAAAAAATTAGACTTATAGAAATTCAATTCAAAATGCATATTTACAAAGCAATCAATTCACAATTATAACAATGAAAGTATGACACAGGTAAGGTATGTTTTCGAGTATTTATTGCTGATAGTTTATCTTCCAAAAATGCGCACTCAAAATTCCATTACTTTGTGAACAAGGCATTGCATCTAGCTTGATGGCTAATAAGTAATGCCTGAGACAAGTGCCAAGTTGACTAGCTAACAGTAGACGACTTTAGTGCTTTGGAGATGATTGAAGGACGTATATAGGATATTCTGAACAACCAGATTGCACATGTAATAGTATCTTAGAATAATGCATCGAATATTATGATACTTTTAATTTGTGCTTCTAAAGAAACGTCATGACAGACACTAGATGCTTCATTATTGCATAATAAAGTTTTGTTTATTGCACTGAATAAGCGTCAATCAATATAAATATTACTATTAACGACTTTACTTATTTAAATTTCAATACTACTAATATTTCGAGATCCATCAATTCAGTAGATGCAACGAGTTGAAAGTGGCTTTTCCATATGATTCTCAATGTAGTCATTGGCGGATGATATCTCAGGTCACTTGATAATAGAACTGTTTAACTTCAATAGATGATCATCTATTGAATGTAAATTCATCACTAGTAGAATATCATATTTATGAAACTCGTGTAAAAGAAAACTTTCTTCATTGCGTGTATATTTTCACTTTATTACTGTTTTGTAGTCAAATAATCAGGCTTTTGATATACGTCAAAGAATTTGATTAGGCAAATATTGGCTAACAATATTATAATACATTTGGATTTTTAGTTAATGATAAAGCCAATTATAGGGGTGATACTTTATTTTTACTTTACAGGGTAAAGTAAAGTTGACAAAGGTTATTTTTCTTATCTATATATGAAAAATATTGTTTTCTAACTTAACGTTACCAAGGAAAATTCAGTTAAATACTTAACGTTAGTTACTTTTTCAAAGTAAAAGAAGGATAAATTTTGACCTCTAGTCATTTATTCTTTATTTCTTATCTCGATAAAGTTTCTCCTACGCATCATACGTGTCATGAGTATAAAAAGCCTGATATGACTACTATTCTTTGCTGTCTCTCCTTTTTTTTCGTATTTGAGTATTAAGATTTTGTATCAGAAAGAACGAATGAATCATTATATTTATATATCAAAAAAACTAGTCTGAATCAGAGCAAAGAATCTCGTTGTTTTGTTTGACAGAGAGGTAAAAACGCGAACGAATAAAAAAGTATGCCAATGACAAAGAAAACGTTAAACTCGTTGGCGTTCTTATTTTTCTTTCATTGTATGGCAACAGGTGAGATGAGTGTCTCTATTGATCGAAGAGAGATGTTAGAAATTCAAAGCTGCACATATGAAATAAAATAACCTGATTAAATGGTTTAAAGGACTTTTTTTTGTGACTTTTTTGTTGCTTTTATAATTGCTCTGAATTCGGTATCTTGCTTTTTGTTAGATATATCACTATTACAAACACACGAATAGTTGTCGACATGTCTTTAAAAGAAGAACAACCACAAAAACCTGATGTACGGGCAGGTCTGGCAATATTTAATAGTAATATGATACCTAATAAGAATTTGGATGGCAATGAGAAATCCAATGATGAAGCATCAATTAAAAAAGAATCGACGCCTTTCAACAATGCATCATCTACAAGGGATTCTCAGCTGACTCCAACTTCATTACCATCAAATGTTAAGCCAGTTGGATCTAACAGGTTTGATACCTTTCAATAATTCTTATTTATATTCAATTCTTTTGTTATTCACAATTAGATTCTTCATGCCAGCCAAGAAATGACTTCATCATATTTACAAATCTAAATATATTCCTACACAATTGCATTATGTCTTGAAAAGAGACAAATAATTTTACAATTTTTATTTATTTGATTAACCTTGACATAATAAACAGTAAAATAAAATAAGCTAAACTTTGAAAAATAAGTCTCACCTTAATATAAATATTTTCTTCGACTTCTAATAACTGATAAGCAAAAAACAGTGATACTACTATCTTCGCGACACGAACAAAAAAACAAAATTGAATAAAATTAAGACGAGTGAATTACTTCTGAAATGTTGAACTTATCATAAAATATTAGTTGCTAATTAATTCATCGACGCAATATCAAAATGTAAAATGAAGCAACAACGAAAAAATACAGTAGAATCCTATAGTATTCTTTCATATTAAACTTTGTCTCAGAATGTTCATTGAATAGAGAGAAAACGATAATTGAAAGCAGATATTCATTTTCATTTGAATATATCATAATTCCGATAATTGTTGGAATTTTTCTGCACTTTTCAGGCGAGTAGCTGATTTTCATATAATTCGATTTTGTGATTTATTTGGAAAATGTTAATAAAAAACCAAATCCTTTTCGAGAGTAATGCAAAATACGGTTAAATCTCAAATAAAACCAACATTTTCTTTTCTGTACTTCTTTGTTTTACACCCCTTTTCTATGTGTCATTTTGTACGACCGAATCTGTCGCACATGTCAAACTTAAAAGTTGAATTCAGTAAGTGAAGAATTAAAAAAAATTGCCTGAATAACCAACGTTTTATATCTGCATTATGACGTGGGGATACGTAGCGTCTCCGAAGAGTTATGACCTATATTCGTCTTTGTGTACACAATAAAGTATATCCTTATTTCATGTTTTGACACTACTTAAAAAGACGTAAATCTAAACAGACCAGGAGAGTTTGAACATTTTTTTTTTCATCGTTTTCAATCGAAACGATAAACTGGATAGACTTTTGACTCTTAGTTCGACAAGCTCATCTAGAAATAACTAAAAATCGATTGCCAAAAGTTGTTCATTGGCTTTCTTTCTAGTAGATCCTAAAATTTGTCTACAATTAAAACATGTATAGTAGTTTCAAACACGCAGAGGATAAGTTGGATAATTTCAGACAGCTATGGAAAAATGCCGGAAAATGTTAAATATGATAAGAATTACTTTTTGATAAATTTGTAAGTATTATTCAAAACTTTACGCGACCACAGGGTATATAAATTTATCTCTATTTATATAAATCAATTGTCATTTGTTTTTCAATCGAAATAAATAATGAATATGTAAAAGAAAGATAAAAATGCTGGTTTTAACGGAAATTTTTATATATAAGGTGTATGAAATTAGCATCGTGTTCAAGAAAAATATGTTAAAATAAGTTTATTATGTTGTTTATTTATTTTTTGTGATTAACCATAGAGGTGTATGGATGATATTAAAAAACAACGACAAAAAAAAACTGTACATATGTGTCCTTATTAGTGTCACCGAGTATATCATGACATCTTCAGAGAAAAATAGAATATGAGCCGTATTATTTTTCTTTTATATGTTTGGACAGACTATTTCTGCTCTTTTCTGAGAACCCAATAGTCAAAAAAAAATTGACTAATCAATAACTCTCGTATGCGTAACAGTAGCATAACTGAAAAACTCTTATTATTCCATGATTCTTCACCTTTTATTTCCAAAAAAAAATCATCATAATGGAAGATTTGCTTCATTGATCGTGCATTTATTTAGTCTTTCTTCCATATTAATTATTTATTTTGAGTGTAAAACTAGTTATAATTGATTTAGATTAATAGAGATATATATTATATAACGTTTTTTAGTTACATTAAGTTTCGAACAGCACTAATAGTTTTACCCAAAAGTGATTTCCATCATATTTGACATTGTTTAGCACTTTTACATAGTTGTCGTCAATTATTTCACTCTGCTCTATATCAAGAACAATATTCTCTGATCGAATTACATATTGTACAAATATACAAGTGGCGAGATTAAACAATATATATACACGATACAAAAAAAGAGAAATGACACTTTGTTTACAAAGTATATCGAAACTTAGGATGATGATCACCAACAAATTCTTCTCCTCCATATTTTTCCACTTGTTGTTTAATTTGTTCATCATTCATTCGTTTTCGTCGATGATTAATTATCATTAATATAAATCGAAGTATAATTATCAATGTTGTTTGTAATACAACACAACAAAATGAAATTGTATGGCCAATAAAATATCGTGGCTTTTGTTTAGCTTGATATATTTGGCCTGCTATAGCTCCACCACTCGTACCAATCGAAACGATCACTGCAACTGCAATAGCACGTCGAGTGAGTGAAGCACTATATATCAAAATTCAAGTAGATAATAAAAAGAAAAAAAAAAGAAGAAGACTTACAAATTATTATTGAACCAAGCAATTTTAAGACTAACATTGGCATAAGTACCGATTGCAGCAAAAATAATACCTACATAAAGTACACCGACTCTTTTTTGATCGATTAACATAAGTATTAGAAAACCACATATCGACCAGAGATTTGAAATAGAACAATGGAGAGAACGTTCCATGAAACTATAGAAAATACTTTGAGTTAATATTTCAAAAATTACAAAAATTGACTCACTGATCGGAACTATAAGAAACAATGAGAATAGCAAAAAATGCTGCCATATATGGTGGAATAGTCAATAATTGTGCTTGAAAAGGTGTCCATTCTCCTAAATTATTAATAATCGTTGGTAAAGAAAGAGTTATACCTTGTGTAGCAATTGTTCCAGTAATATAAATGATAGCATAAATATAAGTCTTCCAATCAATAAATACAGATAAAACTTGAGACCATGAAAATTTATCTTTTTTTATTGGACCAGCATCTTTAGCAAGACGATCAATTTCAAGTTGACGTTCTTGATCATTTAAAAATTTTGCTTTTTCTGGTGAATTAGGTAATAAAAACCAACAACACAAAGCTAAAATAAAGGTCGGAGCTCCTTCAAGCTATACAACAAAATTAATTCTACAAATATTAGATCTTTTTTTTTGTCATGAAAATCTTACAATAAAAATTAATCGCCATTGAGCTAATTTTGCTGAACTTATTCGACTAATACCATACGCAAGAACACCTGAAAATGCACCTGAAAGTGCTGAAAATGACCAAAATAAACCAATTCGAATAGCTTGTTGCTTTTTTGAATACCAAAGTGATATAAAATAAATAATTCCAGGAAATAAACCAGCTTCAAATATACCCAAAAAAAACCGACATACAAGAAGACCGGCAGCATTTTTAACAGCGCCCATACATATTGCAGCAATACCTGTTAGATTAAAACAATATACATAGTTATATATAGATTTATGAGAATAAAACAAGTACCGAGAAATATATGAATTATAGATAACCATCTTGATGGTTGCCATCGTCGAAGAACAATATTTGATGGAACTTCGAAGAGAACATATCCAAAAAAGAAAATAGATAATGCCCTTGATAAAAAATTCAATCATATAAATATATTTTAGTCAAAAGAAAATAAATTAATTTACCATTGATATTCATCAGAAGTTAATTGAAGATCATCTTCAAGATTAACTAATTTAGCATTAGCAATATTTGATCGAATCATATATGAATTTAAATATATAATACTAAAATACAAAAATAAATATTTAATTTTATCTTAATAATTATGAAATACATACGAGAGAAGTGGTAAAATATGTAAATCAAGTTTTCGAGTTAAAGCTTGTTTTTGTTTGCGCATTTCTTTATCATCGTGCTGATCAATTGATGATCTTTTGTTTTTATTTTCAGAAGCCATTGTAGAAAAATACTTAGATTTGATATTAAAACTTTTGTATGATGTAATAAAGGCGAGAAAATTTTTTTTAAAAATGACTATGTATAATATGTAGAAAAAATATATCAATGATCAAAAATATTTCCTATATTAATAGAAGGTGCAAGGAGTATATAGAAATGACGTTTTCATATTCATTTAGGTAAGAAGTATTTATTGATGTTATGTTTAACTATAAAGCGTAATATACAATAAAGCAAAAACGAATATAAAAAGCAATCAAAAAAAAGCATAATATAAAATTAATTTATTTTTTATTAGATGATAAAAATAACGTTGGCTTTCAACTTGATACATATAGAATCTATATCTGAAAATTGAACAAAGAAAACATACATTTCTATCTTATTATCAAGTTAGATAAATCATCTATGTCTTCGTATCAGTAAAAAAAGTTTTAATTATTCAATATCATGATCATTTTTACGAATGATTCAATCTCATTTAAAATAACTAATAAAAATATACATAGTATATGTATATTTTTTAATTTCGATCGACTCTATGACTGCAATACATCAATCAACGATTGAATAACTGTTATTAATTGGTTTTTTTTATTATTTGGTCTCGAAATTTTTACTATATGCAGTCAATTATTATATTGGAAGTCATGCATGTAAATATTCATTAAGTATCTTTCAAACTAGACAAAACAATATATATCCTTCAAAACAAGTTAAATTAACTATTCTATAAGAATAATATGAAGGTCATTTATTATAAAGACTTTTATTTCAATTGTAACGCTGACAAAACATAATTTCTAACATCCTTTTTATAAAACAATTGGGACAATGTTGAACAAATCGATTATTTGAGTTATATTTGTATTTTCAGTAGAATTTAGGGTATCAAGTCATTTTCATAACTGTTCATTTTATATCAATATTCATTGTGTTATATATTTATCTATGGTCATGTCGCACATGTATTAAACATTAATTTTGTTTCAAAAATATATCACTAATTACAGAAAAGTATTTTAATTACTACAGAAAAAACAAACGTAGAGAGTATTTTTTTTTTTTTGTATTTTTATTTTGTCCATTGATTCATCCAGTCAAGAACTTCTTGATACCAAATTATTGAATTGAATGGATTGAGTACCCAATGATTTTCCGTTGGAAAAAAAAGTAATCTACTTGGAATACCACGTCGTTGTAATGCTGTAAATGTACTAATACTTTGACTATCTGGTACACGATAATCGTAACCTCCATGAATAACTAACATTGGTTGAGTCCAATTAGCAACATAATTAATTGGATTATATATTTCAAATGTTTGAGGATTTTCATATGGAGCAAATCCACCAGCATCATATTCAATAAACCATAATTCATCTGTTGAATAAGCCATATGTCTCATATCAAATATTCCATGATGATTAACAAATGCTTTAAAACGTTGATTCATATTTGTATGCCCAGCTATCCAATTAACCATATAACCACCATAACTACCACCCAATGCAATAGCTCGATTTCCATCAATATAATTATATAGATTTAAAGCAGCATCTAAACCTAATTGTAAATCTTGATAAGATAATGTTCCATATTGTTGTCTAATACTATTTGTAAAATTTTGTCCATATGAATCTGATCCATGAAAATTAATTGCAATAACAGCATAACCTTGTGATGAAAATGATTGAAAATTCCATCGATAACTCCATGAATTATACCAACTATTTTGTGGACCACCATGAATAAGAAAAGCAAGTGGAGCTTTTTGGTTTGTTCCATTTATTGGTGGTACATGCCATCCCCATACGATTTCATTATTTGCACCAATAAATGAAAATTTTTCAAATGAAGAACTCATTCGAGTTTTAGATAATAAATTTTTATTATGATTTGTTATCGATCGAATCGATGTTGATGATAAATATAAATAAATATTAGACGGTTGAAGAATATTTTCATAAGTAAATAAAAATATATTATTATCTATTGGATGAATATTAATATTACTTGATGTACCATTATTTAAAAGACGAATAGAAGATGGATTAGGTAATATTAAATTAGATAATTTATAAATAACCTCGTTTGCTTCTTCACCTAATTCAAGATAAAGTGATTGACCATCATTTGACCATGTTATAACTTGAATACTACGATCCCAATCATTTAGAAGTGTTATTTTAGGATTAGAACCTATACGAAAAAAAAGAGTCAAAAAATAAGTTGACAAAATATATAAAAATTTACCATTAATTAATTTGATTTTATATTGATCAGCTTCATATGAAGGTATTGATTGTGATCGATAAACTAAAATTTGATCATCAATTGGTGAATAATGTGGATCTGTATCTGCTGCTAAATTTTCACATGTTATACATATACTAGTTAAAGCTGATGAAGTTAAATCAATTGTATATATATCTAAATTTGTTGTCCAAGCCACGTCACTTGTTTCATCATGTTGTCTTGTATAAGCAAATAAATTTCCTGTTGAACTAAATGACCATTGAGTTTTTCCATCACCAAATGGTCTTGTTGGTGAATCAATATCAATATTAAAAAGAATATCTTTTGGTATAGATGAAAAATAATATATTCCTTTAGAATTTCTTTCAATTGAAACCACAAATGGATGATGACGTCGACCAATTATATATTCATCCCAATGTCGAATAAATAATTTATTAAATTTATAAACAAAACTTCCACTAGATTTTTCTAATTTATCTCGGTAAAATGTTTCTTCAATAGATAAATTAGTATAAACTTGACAACTAAATACAAGACGTGTACCTTGACGATTAACTAATAAATTATCAATATTTAATGAATAAAATGTTATTTGAATTGGTTCAAGAAAATTATCTATATCTTTTATATCATTAGGTAAATTTAATTGAAATAATTGTGTAAGACCAGATGATGCTCGATTAGAAAGAAAAAGAATTGTTTTATTATCAATCCAATAAAACTATAATAAAACACTTTTAGAAAAAAAAAATCAATGATCTGATTAAATTTACTTGTTGATCCTGAATACCCCATATTGGTCGAGTTAATTGAATAGTTTTATTTGTATTTAAATCAATCCAATGTAATGTTGTTGATGATCCATTTAGATCAGGCATATGATATTGTTTTCTTAAATAAATAACACTTTTTCCATTTATTGGATGAAAACATGGTGAAGAAAGACGATCCAAACGGAGATTATGTGTTTGATTAAAATCATATGTTATTGTCAATTTATCATAATAATCACTATTCGATTGATAATCATTAGCATCCCATGTTGAAGGTTCTGATGATGTTGAAGAACAATCTATTGACTTACGTGATATAACAATAACACAAGGAATAAGCACAATAATAGCACCTAATAAGAAGGCTACAGCTACAATGATATACTAAATAAATAGGTAATAAGAGAATAAGAAAAAAAAAACAAATTAAAAAATTTTATACATTCTTAGATTTTAATTTAATCGTACTAGCCATGAAATATGAATTTCCACTGTCCTTGGAGAAGATGGTCCTAATAATAATTGAAGCTAAAAGTAAAACAATATAAAAAGTGTTCTGCTATATTTTCAAATAATTGAAATAGTTTGGACATAAGTATAACGAGCAAAATTAGGATAAAAAGAAATAAAATAAAATGACACTTATGAATGAATGAAGAGAAACTAAGAAAAAAATTATATGTAAATAGTCTCAGGTATGTTATAAAGTAAATCGTGTATGACGCAGCTCACAACTATATACTAATATATTTTGTTGTATGGTTATTTTACGCATTATGAAAGTAGTTTATACGGGTCTATTGAAAATAATAATATTTGATTATAATTATAAACAAATGTAATATCATGCTTAATAAGATCGGAACTATAATAAATTCAGTTTGATATCAACAAAGATTTTCCGAACTAATAAATGGAAGAGCAATTCATTGATGAATCTATTTCTATTCATAATAACGTTCGTTTTGTTATTGATACTAAGATTTTATCTGGTATTGTCATTCACATTAATGATAACACAATTGATTATTTTTGTTGTTATGTCTGTTGAAATATACTGAATAATGATTGCAAAAACAATCATTCTCTAACTAGATTCATAAGATAAAAATATTTCTTTTCTTCTATTTTTTAGTAGTTAGTTCCTTAATTGAAAAATAAAAAATAAAAATCTTTTGTGAAGAGAAATCGTATTCAATCGAAAGAGACTAATAATTTATGATATAAAATAGTATATATAATTATAATAGATTGATAGTTTCTGTATGATTGTGGAAGAATTTCTTGCTTTGCTTCTCGTTATGCAATTCATCGAAATAATATTTCAAGATATAAATTTCGGATTTTATAATAATATTATTCAATAATCAAGATTTAGAAAAGAATTTTTTGAATCAAATAATTAAAGCTTTTCAAATGAAACTTTTTCGATTTATCAATATGATATGAATTAATGTGTAATATTCTAAAGGTTAAATTTACCTAAATTATTTTTAAATAAACTTAATAAATGAATTCAGATGATTAAACATTTTTCAATAAATGAGCATACATGAAAAGTTTACATTCACATAAAATACTAATTTCAAGGTAAGAGAATTTTAAGTATTATGAAGACATAACACATTAAATAGACCAATCGACTTCAATACATGGATTGTATTATTTACATCTATCACAGGAAGCAGAAAGGCAAAAAAATACGTAATATTCATCAATTCATATCCCTGCGATCTATATGCTTGTGCATTGTCTTTTCATATTTGTTTCTAGTTTTAATTTCTTTAATAATTTTCCTTCTTGTCTGTGATTTATATTTTACTTTTACTCCTTATGCAAACAAAAATCATATTAAATTTTGTGCTTCCATTCGATATTTGTTATTTTTGACTTAATCATTATCTATATCTTGATTACGTTTTCTTCAGCCTCGACATATAAAAAAACAAGCAGCTAATAATCATCATTATTGATGAGTACCAAAAGTTAAAACATGACGACCATCTTTCACGATCTGCACTGTTATAGTATTTTAAATAGAAAAAGAAATCAAGTTTTACTAAAAAGATAATAAATAATCTTAACATATGTACATTTGCAAAAAAGATTAAGCATACGAGTATATAGTTAATAATCGTACTCAAATAAAATATGTATAGATATTTATATACTTGATCCATCATTATTGGATAATAGACACGAAAAGTACCAGTTTTTCTGTATAAAAAAAAACAAACTTTTTGTCATTCTTATGATAGGAATATTATATGATATTACTTCAGTTTCACTTTCTGTAGTCTAAAGTGGCTATAATAATTGCAGAACTATTAAAGTAATGCTATGTCACAAATAAAATCTAGTTAATTATATCAACCATTATTAGTGTTGCTGAACAATGAATATGTTATAATGGACATTCTAGAAATATTATTTACTCAGATAATAATAAAAAAATGAAATTAAAATTAGCAAGTCGATCTAAACTTTTGAATTCAAATTGCATCATTTAATATTTTTGCTTATGAATGAACTGAAACAAAAACACGGATTTTAATATATTTTTTAAGTATATTCTTATTGATAGATTAAATACCTCAAAATATGCAACATATGAATGTAGGCGTTAGAGATATAAAAAACAAAATGTTTATATGTTGATTTAAAACTCCAAAGAGAAAATAAACGGACTTTTTTTTTCATAACGTAGTCGATTTCTTCTTCGTGTTACATTTTATTTAGAAAGAAAAACAGTCAGCGACATAAGAAAGTAATCTCATATGATGGCCTCTCAAGAAAATACACAGCGTAGTGGCTATACGAATAAATTTGTAAGACACATTAATTTTTTATGAATATCTTAAGTAAATCATTCTATCAAATTAAAATAGGGTAAACCAATTAGTAATGATGTTGATCAATGGTTTGCACAAGGTGTAAAATCTGTAGGACCGTAAGTTAATTTGAAATCAATAATCAATTTGGATAGGAGAGTTTCTATTTTAGACCAATCCACAGCGAATTTTGTACAAAGACACAAACATTTTATATTATATTATTTGTTATTGGTTTTATTGTTTTGGCTACTGTTATTATAGTACCTATTATTATTGGGAATATGAAACAAAGTGAAAGCGGTTAATGTTATAATACAGAAATTTTAATTATAATATTTTTAAAATATTTACTTTTTTTTAAAAATTAAATAATTAAAATATATTTGAAAAAATGAAATAAATTTTTCTTTTGCTGATTTCGAATATTTTCATATGAAACGAATTTAATGCGAAACTTTTTCAAAAAGACATATAGATTAACTCTTTAGAACACAAACAAGTCGATTTGAAGTTGTCTATCAAACAAATTTACTCCTTCCGAATTGTTGGATTTTACAAATATTTTCTTCATAGTCCAAACCATCTATTATTCATTTCAAAAAAAGAATGGACCCAGTTGTTTGTTAAATAACTCGGCAACACTGGTAGCTATCGAGCTCGGGTTTTTGCTGTTAAAAAGAGCATGAATAGGGGTACAAGTCTATCTGAGAATCAAAATACTTGAAAAATTTTCTAGAGAGTTTCAGGAATTTTTTGAAAATTTACTGTCTGAAATTGAAAATACAGGTAATCATCCGAATCACATAATAATTTTGCAAAAAAATCTCTAGAACTTCCTAGAAAAAAGTTTCAAGGATTTTGATTCTCACGTAGACTTGTATTCCTACTCATGCCCTTTCTAACGGTGAAAAACCAAGTTCGATAGCTATTAGTGTCGCCGAGTTATTCAACAAACAACCGAGTCCATTCTTTTTTGAAATGAATAATAGGTTTTTCATCTACCATAGTACGCAACAGAATTTTTTTAAAACTTGATCCCTTTAGGGCCTCTTCGTTACATCATTTGACTAGACTGAAAATTGTATCAACTATTTACAAAAATATTTGTCTGTTGTTTTCGTATTCGACTGTTTCTTGGAGAATTATTCAATTTTCAATATTGCGCGGTGAATCCTCTGATAGGATACTGTAGTATCCATTCAAAAAGAAAGACATTTTTAGTTTTATTTGATGCCATTAGATAGAAATCGTAAATAACAAAGGCATATCTGACCATTTTCTATGATTTCTCTATAGTAGACGTTATAACTTGATTAGCTTTATCTTCATGAAAAACAGAATATAGTATAATGATAGGTATTCCAAAGACTTAAGAATTCTTTTCTTTTCTTTTTGATAAAATATTGAATACACTCTATGCTATGATTAAACGATATTAAGTGCATTTCAATCAAATACTTTCATTGTCAGTTAATAATCTATGAATTAAAGTCTCTCTATAACGTAAGAGAGACTCGCCAAAAATTGCATCAATACTGAGGTAATACTAATGCGATATAATTAATAATTTGTCAGCAAAACTGTCCTCACTAAACGTTCATTGAACAGTTATGCTCCCCAAGACAAGGACTAAAGAATTTTCAATTCTCATTTTTTTCAAATATATATTTGATTGACATACAAAACAGTGTGATGATTATGTACTATCCTTAGACTAGATTTAAGTGACATCTGTTGACATGAGATCGAAAATATATATTTTTTTTATTTTATAATAAAATAATAAATAATTGAAAGCCATTAGGTTTTCATTAACAATATTAAAGATTAAAATAAAATTTCGATTCACTGTTCAACATCATCTCGATTCCATAATTGTTCTTCACCATTAAATAAAATACAATAGATAAGACAACCAAACATACAAACACTGGATGATACATTAAAAATTAATTTCCACGCTGCTAATGTTTGCTATATAAATAAAAAATTAAATTAATAATAAATTTAGATTTATATAAAATCTTACATTATGATTTGTTATCCATCCAACAAATATTGGTCCAACAAAACCAGGTATTGCAGCTAACATATTTGTAATTCCCATTAATGTACCTAATAATAGATTTTTCATTTTGATTTTTTTAATGATTATTATTTTCATTTCAAACTAACCTGCATAATTACTCGCAATATCTAAATGTGAAATAAGACTACCAGATCCTTGAAATCCAATAAATCCAAGAGATAGAGAAATAAAAATCACAGCTAAAACCTGATTACATCCAACAAGACCAACCAAAACAAGAAAAAACGATGTTCCAAAAGCTCCTAAAAAGAAACAAATATTAAAAGAATAAATATTTGTAATATACCAATAATTGTTTGCCATCTTCTCGTAGCTGTTGTTGATAAAATTTTCTTTGCTCGTATTAGATCAGCTATTTGACCTGAGACAATCGTAAAAACAAGTTGAAATAAATAAGGTATAGCAAACATGATTCCATTCTAAATTGTAGAAAAAGAAAAATTCTTTTTTTTTCTTTTTCTTCTTCTTCAAAATTTTATCATAGAATGAAAAAAAAGAAAACAACAAACTTGTTTTAAATTAAATCGAAGAATTGTTGAAAAATAAGTTGGTAATGATGTAAGTAATATATAAAAAACAAAATTCGTACAAATATGTTGAATAGCAATACCATAAAGTGGTACACAAGTTATAATATCATACCAAGGTGTTGGAGACTAAAATATAATTAAGTCAATATTTTATTTGTTTTTATGAAATTTTTTACTTTTTTTGGTTTTGGTATACATCGAAGAAGATATAATTTTTCTTCATATGTTATACGTGGATGTTCAGATGGAGAATTATATGCATAAAGAGCCCAACCAATAAACCATAGACATGAAAGTACACCTGAAGAAATATTTGCAATTCAAATATAAAATGAATTAATAAAGAAAAAAAAAGTTATTTACCGAAAACATAAAATGCTGATGGCCAACCACCTAAAAATGTTGATGCACACAATAGACTTACTAACGGTGTTGTCACAACAATACCAATTTCTTTGCCTGAATTATAATAATAAAATCTATTATCAAATATAATCTTAAATTTTTATTTAACCTGTACTAGCAATTGGCGGAACTATACTTCTTTCTAATGGTGGAATCCAACGACCCCATAAGGCTGTTGCACTTGGGAATGCAGGTGCCTAATATAAGATAAATTTTCAATTTTATTCTATTAAATAGACTTACTTCAAAAGCACCAATTAATAATCGAATTGCAATAAGTAAATTAACATGTATTCGAGCAGCAAGTGGTGTTAAAAGAGTTAGAATACCAGCAATGAAAATACTACCACCAAAAATCCATTTAGCGCCATATCGTTCGGCTAATAGACCTAAAATAAAATGATTAACAACAACAAAATATAAATTATTATTGAAAGCTTTTTTTACCTCCGATGACTTGAGTAAGAACATAACCATAAAAAAATGAACCTAATATAAAACCTTGAGTTTTTGGTGTCCAATCAAATTCTCCCTTATATTCCAAATTTAATAATCAAACAAATATTATTAGGTTTTTTTTACTTACATGTATATATGGGTGAACCGATGAACTATTACTATTATTAGTTGAAGGACATGCTTCTACAGATTCATTGTTTGTACTTTGAGGATTTGTCATGGCCACTGTAATATGAATTATAGAATATCTTTTGAAGAAGAAAAAACAATACTGATACCTACCAATAGCAACAGATAGATTTACTCTCAATGAATATAAACAAAGAAAACCAAGAAATGCCCAAATGGCAACTACCTAAATAAGGCAAATATGATGAAAATTTACATATAGAAAATCATGGACTAACATATCGAGCAGGAATACCACCTAAATATAATGATATTAATGGTAGTAGAATACAATAAAACCTTACGTGCTTTTGATAATGGTTCAATTCGATGATCGTCGTCTTTCTCTTCCTCATTAGCAAGTAATGGTATTTGCGTTCCATCATTATTTATCAATCCAGAATCCGTTGAGTCCATTCTCTTTCCTAATCGCATTTAATCCATCAAATAAGATTATCTAAAAATAATTCACATTTTCGTAAGTATTAAAATAAAAAAGAAAAGGAAAAACTCGAAAGAAATAATCAAATGCCAAATATAGAGTGATTCTTTATTCCCATTGATATCTATTATATAAAGTATAGAAATTTAATGGCATAAAACTTATTGATGTATGTAAAATCAACATCAAAAGTGAACAATTATTTTTCTATAAACCATTTACTGATAAGCATTGGATCCTATATGATAAAGTTATGATTAACACCAAAAGTTCAGCTATGTGTAGAGAAGATTTATTTAAGAAATTCCAGTTCTTCTAGAATATTTTTTCTTTTGATTGATATTTTTAATCTTAATACTTTGCAATTGAATGAAAGCCAAATCACCAACAAAATAATTGACTGATTCTCACCAATTTTTTTTTGAAGAAACACAAAAAAGATAAAATTTTTTTTTCTTTTGTCTTTCAAATATTTGTAGAAACTAATATGTCATAGCTCACAAAACAAAGATAAGTTTTCTATTTTCTTAGACATTAATTTTGCTTTTATTGATGCAATGCTGATGAGACTAACGAACAGCTGAATCCATCAGAAAATGAATCCTGTTGACACAATACTCATGAACTGTTGATGTGAGACAAATTTTTAAAAAGCCATTATCAGAACAAGAAAAAAAACAATGTAAACGTATTATTTAGATTATTTTAGTTGTGTTTTATTTTATCGATAATTATTAGTGGTAGAGGCAATAAGAAACAAGCCGAGAAAAAAAGATGGCCAAACCAACAATATTAGTGATCGCATAATTTAAGTAAAAGAGGAAAGAAAAAAAAATAGTTGTTGTGTTTATGACTCGTAAGCGAAGACGAGAAAGATGTGCTCCGATTTCTGATTACTTTTTACAAAGACTATCGTTTTGTTACTTATTGAATCATATTACTATCGCGTAAATATTTTAAAAAACAACATAGGTCAATGATAAAAGTGGCCTCTTCAACGTTTGTTTTGGATTCTTATTCATTCTATATATATATATCGTAACTCGCTTTAGATAAGAAATATATAGAAGAAAATGGAAATGAGTACAATATTACTACCGGCAATGTTAATTAATTCTTCAACTTCTCAATCAACTACCGAATCTTCAGCAACGACTGTCGTTTATAATAATCATTTATTTTTACATACAACTGCTTGTCAAACTATTGCTGGAGCATTTACTTGGGCAGCTATTTTTATAACTGGTTATCATGTAGGAAACACAAAAAATAAAATACTGTTTTTTTTCGTTTGAATTAAATAATTAATTATTTAGATTTATCTTCATTTACGTCATTATACTATACCATCGGAACAAAAATGGATCATTCGTCTATTATTCATCGTACCGATTTATTCATTTGTTTCATGGCTTAGTTTAATTATGTTTAGAAATAATTCTTATTATGTTTATTTTCATGCGATTCGAGATTGTTATGAAGGTTTGTTTAATTAAGTAGTGAAAAAGCTTTGAATTTTCTTTTAACAAAATATTTAGCTTTTGTCATCTACAGCTTTCTTTCGCTTTGCTATGAATATTTGGGCGGTGAAGGGGCAATTATGGCAGAAATTCGTGGAAAACATATAGAGTAAATTATTGAATTTTAAAGAATAAACTTTAATAATTGTGTTTTTTTTTATAGACGAAGCTGGTGGACATGTACATGTTGTATTTCAAATCAAGAATATACAATTGGATTTTTAAGGTTTTGTAAACAAGTAAAAGAACAAAATTGAAAACGAGAAAATTATTTGATAATTTATTCGTATTATTCTATAGGCAACACTTCAATTTTGTTTAGTAAAACCTTTAATGTCTCTTGTAACACTTGTTTTACAAGCATTTGATAAATATAAAGATGGAGATTTTTCGCCTAGTGGTGGTTATCTTTATATAACATTAATTTATAATGTATCTGTATCGGTTGCACTTTATGGTTTATTTCTATTTTATGAAGCAACAAAACATATTTTGGCTAAATATGATCCTGTATTGAAATTTCTTACTATTAAATCAGTGATTTTTTTGACATTTTGGCAAGGTTAATTTATTTTTATATTGTTTGAAGAAAATAACAAAAATGAATTTAATTTTTAGGTGTTCTTTTGGCTCTTTTTGAACAACTTGGTATTATTCAAGCATTTCAAGGAAAAACAAATTTAAGTGTTGGTACTGTTGCTGCTGGTAAGTAAAATTTATTTTGAATAGATTTATTTTTTATTTTCTTTAAAATTAATTTTTTTTTGTTTATCAAAAGGTTGGCAAAACTTTTTTATTTGTATTGAAATGTGTTTGGCTGCTGTGGCACTTCGTTTTGCTTTTCCACATCAACCTTATATAGCACATGATAATTATTTTTCAACATCATCATCATCATCAAATTCTGGACCAGGAACATCAAATATTGGTGGACGAATAGCAACTATGCAAAGTATTTCAACTAATCTTAAAGAAACAATGAATCCAAGAGATATAATGCATGGTAAATTAAATCATTTTGTTTATCAACGATTGAATAAAATATTTATTTTAGATGCAATTCATAATTTTCATCCACAATATCGAGATTATACACAATATAGTGCACAAGTAAGATTTTTCCGTCTATTTATATTCTGAACCTATTAATCTATCTATCTATCTATCAGGATATTCAGCTGAACACAGGATGACCTTCTGTATTTTTTCAGCTTTCTCGGGTATATTTAAGCTTTCTGGTGACAGGAATTAATACTAATAGAACTAACGCTTTTTTTTTCTAATATGATTTGTTTTTTGTATTATTTAATTTAAATTCTCTATAATATAATTAATAGACAAATGATGATCGAGCACCAACATCAACATATGGTCTAAATCAACGTTCAATCAATACATTATCACCATCAAATACGTCAGCACCTGTTGATACATCTTATCATGAAGGTGGAACTTCAACAGCATTGTCTGTTCAATCTCCATCATTATCAAATACTCAAGGTCAAAATAATATTATTAATAATTTACAAAATAAATTAATACCAAAATCTTTAATAAAAAAAGATATTGAAAAAGATATGTTATTAATTAATGATGACATCTAATCAAAATAATAATAAAAAGAAAAACATTATTTTCCATTTCTTAGATATTCTAGTCGTATAAATTGATGATCTATTCTTTATTCCGTTTGTTTTTTTTATGTTGTTTTTGTTTTCATTGTTGTTGTACAACCAAAAAACTCTCTTTACATACTTATACGCAAACCAAAACAAAATATATATTCAAATTTAATGGCAGATTTTGTTTTAATGTTGTTTATCCTTATTTTTTTTTTTCGTGTTGTGACATTCAACTTTTTTCCTTGTTGTTGTTTTGTACAGATATATCAAAGATTTCAACACATTAATTATTTTACATTGTATCTATTATTAGAAAAAGAACAGTCTATATCTATAACATATTTTTCTGTATCGATATTGTAATGTATTTGACAAAAAAAATCCAAGATATTTAGTTTGTATTTTAGATGATGAAATTTAGTATAATTAGTATTTTGTTTGTCTTTATCAATGGTGAATTTGAAATGAAAAATTTATGTACAGATCGTAATGCAACTAGTAAATCTGTTATTGATTATTGTAAATCTCAAAATGGTTCATTAGAATTTCGATGTTGTTTTCTATCGAATTCAACAAATATTTTAGCTATTGATTTAACAGAAATGCATTTAAACAAAGTACCTGATTTAATTGAATTTACAAATTTAATAAATGTAACTATGATGGATCTTCGTTTAAATCCTCAACTTAAATCTTCAGACAAAGATGATTTTCTTGGTATGAAATATCTTGATTATCTTTTCTTACCTGAACAATATTCATGTCCTGGTGAAAAACGTATTTGGCAAGTTATTAATAAAACAACTGATCCTATAGGTATTGTTTGTATGCATCAAAAAGATTTTTGTACAAACTCAACTGATACTTGTATTGAACCAAATTCATATTGTGTTTCAAATGGACCAAATCATTTTTTATGTTTATGTAAAAATGGTTATTATGGTTATAAATGTTTACGATATGGACAATTTCGGATAGGAATATTTTTTGGTATATCTATAACTGTTACTGTAATTTTAAGTATTCTTTTCTATGTAACACAACGACGACATGTAAAAAAAGATTAACGTGAACTATGAAATACAATTACATAGATCTGTCTTTCATATCGAATCTATAAAAAGAATGATATTTTCATATGGTGTGTTAGGATTATTTTTTTTGTATCTTTACTGTTATGATTTTTTTTCCACATGTTATTGGTCTGAACAAATAAATCATGTATATTACAATAACGATAGATTTACTGTATAAATATGTGGAACTTGATTTTTAATTTAAAAAAAGAAAGAAGATTATAGAGAAAATTTTGTCAAAATTATATAGATGGACAATTTCAAGTAGTTTGATATTAAACATGGTTATCATTTTATTATTCATTTTCAAGGTAAATAAGACAAAAAAAATTCTAAAGTGTAGTTTTATTTTTAGAATTACGACGTAAAATGTTAAACGGAAATAACCTTTAGAATATATATATATATATCTTCAATAAACATTTACTTCAACATTGCTGGCAAATAATTCATCATATTGACGTTTTCTTCTCAATGTTAGAATATAATAAATGACGAATGGTACAAATTAAATAGGATACAAATCATTTTCTTTTTTTGAACCATTCTGATACACTTGATAGAGCATTTTTCGCTCTATACAACTGTTTTGTTTATTTTTACTAATAAATTTTCTTTGGTGAAGCAAAATTTAAAATATGACCACCTACTCAAATGTCTAATTGTAGTTTTCGATTTCCTGCAGACATCTATCAATTTGTGTAGATCTTTACTCGCCAGAACTAATTCAAAACGTAACGCAATTAACATTAATGGATTCTGTGTTCTCGCCTTCCACGACTTTTCCTGGTGCTGTCGTTCATGAGAAATAAACTTGGAATTAAAACCTACTGATATTTTTCTATTCGTGCTTTCCAAAACAAGGCTTAGTCATTCTCTGACTGTTGGATACGTGACTTCACACTGATAGAGGACGATTTTTTCAGTTTTTACTTCATGATTATTCTTGTAAATCTTTTTTTCTAAAATTCTGAAACATTTGTCAAAAAATGCAGAATTCTCTAGAGAATTTGTTGGCATGTTTGACATTTCAACAAACCGTTGTTAGAAAAGATTTGCATAATTTTTCTCTGTATTCTTTTTTGACAACCGCAAATTTGAAAAACAAACAAAACAGTTTTGTAGAGCAAAATAGCTTCTATCGATTTATTATAGAATGACATTCTGAAGAAAATGATTTGATCTCGTTTAATCTGCGTCATTCATTCCATTGTTCATTAAAAATAATATTTGAATCACAAACGATGAAATTCTATTAAGATTAATATTTAATGGATGTTAGAAAATGATAGATTCACATAAAAGAAAATTCTTATACAGTTATTATTGGATGATTTATACATATGTTCGCTGCTTGATCACATTGATACTATGATAAAAGATTATCGTAAACACAAAGATGCGTGCGCAAAATTTTCTTCTTTCTTCTATTAAATGTTTATCTACCATACGCGATCGGTTATGTAAACATCATATAAATATGACGCAGTAATGTTCTAGATATTCTTAAAACTATGACTGAATCAATTTCAACTAATTATAGTATTCCTTCGGTAATGAAAGCTGCTCAACAAAATGGTTATGGAGAAGTACGTAATGTATTAACACTTCGTAATGATGTACCTGTACCATATGAATTATCATCAAAACAAATTCTTATTCGAGTACATGCTGGATCAATTAATCAAATTGATTGGAAAGTATTAAATGGAAATTTTTCATCTCTTGTACGATTATCATTTCCTCATGTACCAGGTAAAGATGTTGCAGGTGTTATCGTGAATATTGGTTCAGGAGTAGAACGTTTTCAAATTGGTGATAAAGTTTATGGAAATCTTGGAATGAATGATGGTAGTTTTGCTGAATATGTTCGTGGAGATGAATCATTATTTTCATTGAAACCAAATAATATAACAATGGAAGAAGCAGCTGCTATACCTTTAGCATGTCAAACAAGTTATCAAGTTTTATTTAAAAAAGCTTCACCACCTATTGGAATGGAAAGTAAAATATTAATTTGAGGTGGAAGTACAGCAACTGGTTTATATGCAATTCAATTAGCAAAAGCAGTTGGAGCTCATGTAACAGCAACATGTTCACAAAGAAATTTTAGTCTAATGGAAAAACTTGGTTTGTTTTCTTTGATATTTTCCATATGAGTGTTCTTGTTTTTCTTATTAATTCTAGGTTATGATATAACACAAACAAATATTGAAACAAATAACAATCGAAATCAATTACATATAATTGATTATAATGAAAAAGATTTTGAACATGAACTTAAGGGTAGATTTATTTTACTTTTTTCTTTTTGTATGATTATTATTAGTTTGTTTTTATTCTGTTTATTTGTATTTAGGTCAAAATTATGATGTTGTATATGATTGTATTGGTGGTGAACAACAATGGATATCAGCACAACAAGTATTAAAATGTGGTGGTCAATTTATTACTATTGTTGGTGATGATAGAAAATCGATTATTTCATTAAAATCATTAGTTTCAGTTGGTTCTAGTTTAATAAATCGAAAATTTTGGTCGATTTTTGGTTCATCTCATCATAATTATATATTTCATTTTGTAAATCAAAATTTTCAAGAACTTGATGATATAAGAACAAAATATATTGAAACAGGAAAAGTTAAACCATTAATTGATACAATATATGATTGGCAAAAAGATGATGTTGAAGCTTTATATTTACTCTATGAAAAATCCAAAAGTGAAAAAGCACAAGGAAAATTAATTCTTAAAATAGCTCATGAAGAATAAATATAAACATTTTTTATTTAAAACTATTTTTATATTGAATAAATGTCTTGTTAACACATTTATTTTCTATTTTAGAAGTTATTCTTTATGATCAAATATAGTGTGACATAACAAGTTAGATAGATGGGTCGTTAAAACATTTATAGGGATTTTATCATAGATGATTCTAGTCACATTTCTATAAATGTCACTGAGCGTTATGTATTGCATTTTCTCTTTAAATAGAAAAGGACAAGAACTATTACAAATTTCTAATTCTATATAATAGATCATTTAAAATAACTGATATATTTTCTTAAATAAGACAAGGTTTTTTTTTATTAAACTAGATCATTGAGTGAAAGAGGACCTAATGGTAAAAATAATATTTATTATCGGATTAATCATCATGATTGATTCGATGTATATGACAATCAATCCTTGACATTATGCATATGCCAATCATTCGCTCTATCTATATTTTTTTTTATAGAATAATCTTATCATAGGATTAAACTTGCATGATGAGAATAAAATCATATGGCTAGTGACTCTACAAACAGTTCTAATCGTTTTTTCTTCTGCATTGAATATCCTTTTTCTGTGATAATGTAGTTTTCTACTTGAATAAATATTCATTGAAAAATAGTCTGTTTGAAAACCGGTAATAACAAGGCATATATATTGAATAATGATTCTCTTTCTTATATAAAAAAATAATAACCGATGAAAAAAAATTTTTTTTCTTTATGAATATAAAGTTTTTTAATCATTAAAAAAGAAAAAGCTGTCAGAAATGTTTTCTTTCAATTGATAGTTATTATTGCTTCTATCTACAATTAATTACGTCACAGAAAATAAGGAAAAATTCTTATTACTTTTATTTCGTTGAATTCGAGTTATCAAAATCAGATGCAAATGTTATTAGCATATCAATTATTTTATTTTTATCTCAAACTTAGTCTTAAAAAAAAAGTATTGTTTAAATAGATATTGATAGAAATCAATTGATGAAAAATACTCTTATTTATTATAGGCAATACTATGGATCGATGCTTTTATAGTAAACAGAAAAACATATTATCTTTTGTATTTAGCAAACAAAAGGAGAAAGAAAGTTATAGACCGACTTAATAATTTATTACAATAAGAAATATTTCTTTTTACATATATAAGAAAAGAATAATACAAAATGATCAAAATAATGGAGTGTACGAAACAAAATCTAACTAAAAAAAACAATAGAGAAAACTGACACATTCTTCACCATGATTCAATGTGTGAGCTCAATGCCCTTTTGCTTGTTCTATAATATTTAAGAGCACGAAGAAAAAGAAAAAGAAAAAGAAAAACAAAAGAGTCCATTAGAAGAGAATAAGAAGGAGAAAAGGGAGAAAAAGAAGAGAAGAAAGAAAAAAAACGTGACATGGCAGCGCGCCGAACAACAAATATACATTTAATAAGAAACCTTCTAGTAGTGTGACGTACAGCGAAGCATTACTAACATATTGTAATCAAAAATAGAGACACGAATTGAAAATATTTAAAATTATAGAATCGAATGTTTCACGCTGGTCTTGAAGCACTTTTTGGTCGCAATCGTGAACATCATAAAAAACGACATTTATTTGGTCTTCGTCGTCGTCATGATAATCATAAAGAAGAAACAGATGAATTTGCAAAACTTTTTTCTGATAAACCACATACAGAAAAAGAATTGACTGTTGATAAAAATTTTTGTTTTGCTGCTATGCAAGGTTGGCGTTCAACAATGGAAGATAAACATAAACATTTAGTTCCATTTGATGATTCTTCATGGAAATTATGGTCGTATTTTTCAATTTTTGATGGTCATAATGGTAAGCAAAAAAATACAATTATTCAAAAGAAAATATAATTTATTTATAAATTATTTAAGGTATTGATACAGCAAAATATGCTGCTGATCATCTTGACATTTACTTATTAGATATACTTAATAAAATGCTTATTCAACAAAAAGATAATAAAATAAATATTGGCGAACCTGTTCGTTCATCTCAATTAGATGTTCCAACATTCTGTGCTTCTATTAAACAGGCTTATTTTGAATTAGATAAACAATTAAAACAAGTTGTTAAAGATGATAGTGGTTGTGTTTGCGTAAGTTTTAGTTCAAAAAAATAAGAATAAAATTTTTTTATTTAAAATATTTAGATAACATGTCTTATTGGTCCAGAACAAATTTATTTAATTAATGTTGGTGATTCTCGTGCTATAATTTTTTCAAATGATGGACGTATTTTAGCACATACTGAAGGTAATTCTTTTTATCGTCATCGCTTTTTTTTCTTTTTGTTTATTTATTGAATATTTATTTAGATCATAAACCAGATGATCCTGCTGAACAAGAACGTATTCATGAAGCTGGAGGAAGAATTTCTAAACCATTTGCTGGTGATGTTTTACGTGTAGAAAATCAATTAGCTATGACACGTGTATTAGGAGATTTTGGAATGGATAAACATATCGTTCCACCTATGGCAGATATTATTCAATATCCAAGAGATTCATCAGCAGCATATCTTATTCTTGCATGTGATGGAATTTGGGATGTTATGACAAATGAAGAGGTAGCTTCATTTGTTGTTAATCATATAGCAACGACAAAATTAGAAAATATTGCAGCACAATTAATAGATGAATGTCTTCGTCGAGATAGTACTGATAATATGAGTATCTATATTGTAAAATTTTAACATTTCTATTGTATATAAAACTAACAATAAAATGAATTATTTTGTCGTTTGATCATTATTTAATATAAAAACAAACAAACATGGGAATATTAATTTCTACTAATATTAAATGATAAATTTTCTGTTTTGTCTCACATTATTTGTTTTTAATATAATTATATTTGCCATTTGTCGTATTTATTCTTAAGATAATTGAATAAATGCATCATATTCTTTTTTTTTTGTTCTGAAAATAGCTCATTTCGAAAGGCTTATGAAGAAACAAAAAAATAACATCTCGACATGTTTTCTACTCTGTCATTTGTTATGACGTCATATTCTCAGGTGACATAAGGCATGCATTTCTTATTTTCTTTTGTTATTTTAAATTCAATAATGGTATCTTTTATTTTTGTTTGCTTATATATTGACTTTTAGTGACAACATTATATTTATGTAATGCGTACTGAGCAAAATACACGTAGAAGTACATCGGCTTTGTTATATGATGACAATCAAAAAATAGTAGATGCAATGTCAGAACAACAACCATTATTAGGCTATACAGATAGTAATAATATTGTCACACATCAATCATGGTATAAACGAATATATGCCAGATATGGTTTGTTTAGATTTATTTATTAATGAAATATTAGAAAATATATTATCTAATTTCTAGTTGTGGCTTTATGGGTCTTCTTAGGTTTTATTTGTTTGTATATGTTACGTGTTAATTTATCAGTAGCTATTGTTGCTATGACTATACCACGAAATCTTAAAAATGAATCTGTAGAAGCATGTCCATCGAATATAAATGATTCAAGTAGTACTCCAACTAAGGTTGATAAATATATATATATATATATATATATTTTTCTTTTATTATTATTATGACATTTGAAAATTTTACATTTAATTTGTAGCATGATCAATTTGATTGGAATCCTCGTACACAAGGTTTTATACTTGGTGCTTTTTTCTATGGTTATACTATTTCACAATTTATCGGCGGTGAACATAGAATAGAATATGAATAAAATCATTTTTTTTTCTTTTAATATATAAATAGGTATTCTAGCTGAAAGATATGGTGCTAAATGGATTTTTGGTTGTGGTCTTTTAATAGCCGGTATTTTGACTCTACTTACACCAATTGCAGCTCGAACTCATGTTGGTTTTCTCATTGCTATTCGTATTCTTATTGGTATTTTTGAGGTAGAAAAATCTATTATTGACATAATGAAATAAATAAATATTTAATGTATACATATGTAGGGTCCAGCATTTCCAAGTGTAGGTGCATTATGGGGTCAATGGGTACCACCTTTAGAAAGAAGTATTATCCCGCCGATTTCACATGCTGGTAATGATACTTTTGAATAAAATATTACATAAATTTTTTGCATTTTTTCCTCATTTTTTTTTATAGGAAAAGAAGTAGGTGTTGTAATCACAACTTCATTAGCAGGTGTTCTATGTGCATCGAATTTTTTGGATGGTTGGCCATCAGCATTTTATGTTTTTGGTAAGAATAATAACAATGTATTCATTCTATCATAAACTGAATTTATAGGAATTATTACTTGTATATGGTTTGTTTTCTGGTGTTTTTTTTCTTATAATAATCCTTTTCATCATCCACGATGTTCAGAAAAAGAACGACTACATTTGTCAACTTCTCTTCCAAAACCAAAGAAGGTTTATTTTTGTTTTGTTGAATTTTTTTTTTAATATTTTCATCGGTATTTTTTTTAGTTACAAACACCATGGTTATCAATTGCATGTTCACTTCCATTTTGGTCAATTGCTATTGTATCAACTTGTATTCAATTTGTTTATTATGTTTTATTAACATCATTACCTACTTATTTTGCTACAATATTAAGATTTGATTTACAAAAGGTATTTTTCGTTTTTTTTTCTTTGAAAAGATAAATCTCAAATAATATTTATTCATAGAATGGTTTGATGTTTTCTATCCCTTATATATTTCTATTGATTGTTATTATTATAAGTGGTCAAGTAGCTGATCATGTTCGACATCGACAAATTCTGTCAACAACAGCTGTCCGAAAAATACAAACAATTATTGGTAATGTCTTTTTGTTTTCTTTGTTTTTCATTTTGAATGAAATTTTCTATGTTGTTTTATTATTGAGAATAGGTTGTGTTGGTTCGTCTTTATTTTTAGTACTTGTCGGTTATGTTGGCTGTAGTAAAGTAGCAGCTATGGTTTGTATAACATTAGCTGTTGCTTTTATTGGTTTTAATTCAAGTGGTTGTCAAATATCACATCTTGATATTGCAAGCAATTATGCTGGTTCGCTTATATGACTCAATTAGCCTATTTCATTCTTTTCTCTTGCATTTATAATAGGTACTCTCGTTGGTATCACGAATACATTAGCTTCAGTGCCGGGTATTGTAGCTCCTTATGTTGTCGGTGCTATTACAAATAATAATGTAAGACATTTTAAATTATATCCTAATATGTTGTTGTTTTTTTGGTTCTATTTAAATAGCAAACATTACATGCCTGGCAATTAATTTTTAATTTGTCAGCTGGAATAGGTCTTTTTGGTTGTGTTATATATTGTATATTTTTTGATGGTAATGAACAATCATGGAATCAAAGTGGTATACACGAAGCTTCAACTGAAATACAAGAATAATTCATATTTTTAAGAAAATTTCATAAAAAAAAATTTTTTCTTTTTTTTTAAAGTTAATTAAATAATTTTTATTCTTTTTCAAGAATTTGTTTATCATACATATTAATAAGTCATTATAATGAAATTGTTATAAAAATAAATACTTTAACTAGTAACTATACTTAAAATATGTATAAAGTTTGTTTCAAATGGAATATAAAATTTTGCAGAGTCATTCTTGAGTTTCCCAGAATTTTTTGCGTAGACTGTACATGAAGTTATGTTTTCTTCAATTATGAAAGACTGTTTTGTGGTGAAAACGTCTGATTTTCTAGAATAAAATCAAAGATAAAGAGACCTTTTTATTAATACAAAGCGGCATTTTACCTAATCTGTTGCTATTGTACAAAGATCTCTTCATGTGTTACATGCACGAACGGACACTGCGTTTATTATATCCTATGACTATGGAAGCATGTTTTCCGTGTATAGAGCCTGAAGAATGTTTTCAAAGTAAGCCGCAAAGGAGTACTAAAATGATTCCATGATATGTTTTTACAAACAAACGCAATCATTAATAGACAGTTGTTTCCTATTAGCTGCTTCTCAGGATTTTACTCATTCGAGTCTGACACTTCGTTATGAGATAGAAAGAAAAATATTGTTCGTACTGAATTTCGATATCATTCTGGACTTAAATACTAAACAAGACAATAAACTCCAGAAACTATTTCAAAACATCGATTTTTTTAAGGGTCCTCTAATATGTCTTTCGCGTCATTTATTCAAGAGGGTTCTTCTAATGTGTTGAGGGCTTTACGTAGAAACAGATTGAGGTGGTATAGAAACCGAATGATCAACAATAAGTTACAGAAGATATGTAACAATCACAAGCTGAACAATTTTAGATTGAACTTTATATAGATATTTCGATTATATCTTTTATTTTAATACAACATTTTTCATTTATTTTATCTTGTTGAGAAGGTTTATGTCAATAAATTAAGGATTCACTTCATTTTATTTCACTTTCACACATTTTAAATAGAAATTACTCGTATACATAATTTTTATGATGTAGTTAAATGACATTACGACGTTGAATTATGGAAAACATTTGCTGATCATTTTAATTGTTTATCAATTACGAAAATCAATCACAAAAAAAAGTTTTCCTTCTCATAATGGTCTTTATCTAGATTTACATTCACTTGAACAAATAAAACACATTGCAAGATGAACTGATCTACCTCATGCAGAATTATTTTATGATCTCCTTTGGTTAGATCCAGATAAAGATACATCATAAGGGATGAAAATAATTGTGGTGTATCGTTTACGTTTGATGCGGAAGTTGTTTCACAGTTTTGACTACTACATGATCTTGATCTAATTTATTGAGAACATCAGGTTTGATTCACATAGAAAAAAAAATGAATTATTGTCATATTAAATAATTATAGATTGTTGAAAATGGTTATGAATTCTTTGTCAAGCGTAAGTTAGTAACGATTGTCTTTTCATCAAATTGTTATGTAAAATTTGATAAAACCGATGGTGTAGATAATAAAATATAAGGTCTTCGTTTCAAATACTTTGACTATCAACTTAAAAAACATCTATGAAAGATACACAAACAAAAGAAACAATAGCGCATACATCGAATGTTTAGATGAATACAATTTATACATGCTGATTTTAAATTATAATGTTTAAAATATTTAAACAAAGTGTATCAATACCATTGTTTGATGAAAAAGAAGTTTGAGACCTTTTTGAAAATATTTTGAGTGTTTGATTTTGTGACTTTATCTAAATATGGCACTAATTGTTAAAAATGCATTTAATATATGATAAATGCAGTCAGATTATCACAAAGTGATCGTGCAAATTTTTCACCATTATCAATGAAAAAAATTTGCGGCAGAAAGAAAAATAGCATCAGGCATTCATTATCATATAACATGAATATGTGAATATTATTCTCGCGGACAGCAGCGAGAAAAATAACATATTATATATATATAGGTTGAAAGAAAATGAGAATGACTGAAATGAAATATAATCGTTAGACATGAACATTTTAAATCACAATGATATTAATATACTGGATCTACCAGATGAAATGTTACTTACCATTTTCAATAAACTGAATACGATTGATATGCTCTATTCATTGGTAGATGTAAATCAGCAATTTGATCGATTAGCACTTGATTCTCGCGTTATTGATCATCTCAATTTTGTGATTAAACGAGATGATATTCATAGTTCTTCAGTAGAGATTGATATTCTTTCACGAATTTGTTCGAAAATCTTACCTCGAATTAATGAGAAAATAATCAAACTCACTCTTGAATCACATTCTATGGAACGTGTTATTAATGCTGTTGATTATCCTCGACTCCATTCATTATGATTAGTCTATTATCAACCGAAAATACTTTTACGGCATTTATCAGGTATATTTATGAATTTTAATTAATTTCATCAATTATTTATATTTAAGATAAAACAATGTTACATCTTCTTACTAATCAAATTACACATATTATTGTCGATATTAATATTGAGAATGTTGCGATACCGATTAGAAATGAAGCAGATATATTTGTAATCATATTATTAATCAGTAAACGTTTAAGTGATTTGACTTTTCTTCAAAAGTCCTCAGAAGAATATCTAACAATTTCATTTTTGAATATTTTATATAGAAATTCTTTTTCTTCAACCCTCACTAAATTGACAATAAATGTCAATAGTTTTGATGATTGTCTTTATCTTTTTAATGGATGTCTCGAATCTTTATCTACATTGATTATTCGTATCAAGAAAATTACTCGTTCATTATCGGAAATAGATAATACAGTAAGTATAAGTACGATCATTAAATATAAATAAATTTATCTTTAAAACCTAATGATTGTTTCATTTTCTTTAGAAAAAGCTTCTCAAATTAAAACATTTCTCATTAGCAACAGATTTTTATACAAGTTGTTATGATACAGAAGTTGTTCCATTACTTCGTCGAATGTTAAATCTTGAAGAATTAACATTATTTCTTTCAGTAGTAAGAAGTAAATCGACTTATATTGATGGTAATCAATTATATGATAAAGTTCTTAATTATATGTCACAACTAAATAAATTTATCTTCAATATACACACTCGCATTATGAACGATTTTATTATCAACAATAATATTAAAATTGATCTTCCATCGAATGATGATATTCGAAATAGTTTCATTAAAAGAGGATTCAAATCAATTGATACATGTGCCGATGATAAACTTATCAATAATAGAGGCAATTGTCATGTTTATTCTCTTCCATATCAATTCAACGAATTCTTGTTTATGAATAGTTGTTTTCAAGGTGGAAAATTCGATAAAGTTCGATTGTTAACAATGTTTGATATACGTCCATTTGAACATGAATTATTCAAAATCATCTCTCAAGACTTTCCTTTTCTTCAACAATTACATATATGTAATAATCATCGGCAAATAAATGAGCACCATCATTCATCTACATTGATTACATTTAATTATCTGTTTAAACTCCATCTTTACGCTGTACACAAGGACTACGTTATACAGTTTCTTTCGGATAAAAACACTCGTTTACCTTGTTTAACAAATCTCATAATTGAGTATAAAACATTAGTAGCTGTAACAAATAATTTTACCAATGATGCAACACGTCTCAATTGTTCTAAAATTAAATATCTAGTTACATATGAACCGTTTGTTCGTTCACAAAATTTTGTTGCATATTTTCCGTCTCTGTAAATATTATTCTTTTATATAAATCATTTGAATAAAAACAAATACAATAAACATACAATAAGGAATTTAACACATTTCATCTAATATATAAAGAATGTTTCTCTGTCTGTCTGTTCTTTATGCATTTGGTCCCTGTAAGAGCCAGTGCAACCAAACTTTGCATGAACTCTTCTTTTATCAAGGGGAAGATCAAGGACTATTTCTTTTTCAGAAATCATGGGTTCTCCGCCCAAAAAAGACCTACCTGTGTGCCCAACCAATCCGATTGCAGCTTTCATTAGTATAGGATAGAAGAACTACATAACATCAGTCCGAGATCGCACAGAAGACATCTAACCAAAGGTTTTCGTGGGTGGTGAGTTCGAATCTGGAGTCCAATTGCCTCGGAGTCTGATTCGCTGGCCGAAAACCAATAGGAATTCAGCTGCCAGGAAACCAGCTAATCAAACTTACGTTTTCAGCGAAAAAAGTCAGGTAGAGGTTTTCAGAGGCGGTGAGTTCGAATTAGGAATCTAGTCGTCTCAAAATCTTATTGATTAGCCCGAAACCAATAGGAATCGAGTTTTTTGGAAAACGAATATCATTAGATGATCGGAGGGAGGATATTAGGAATCGGAAGTCTATTGAGCTCGATATCCTACTGGAGTACCCATGGTTCTACTGAGTGACCCATGCCACATACAAATCGAGTTTTGGGGAAATTGGTTTCCTGGAAATTATGTGAGGCGGGGATTTCGAATAAATAGTCTATGAGATGCAAAATTTGTTCGTCATAGATATCGACTCCTTAGGTTGCTAAAGGATCTGCCCCACAAAAATCTTTCTGTCTGTCTTTCTATAATAGAAAAGCGTATCTTATCACAAAGTACTTTTCTTGCAAGTTCTTATTATAAACTAATAAATGATAGAAAACATCAACTATCGACACCGATTTCCACCGTCGAGTCACGACTAAACTACTGTTTTTATAGATAACAATTCATTATCAAAATGAAAGTATCCAAGCAACGAGCGAAAAAAAGATTCAAAAATTATAATAAATATATTTTCTACACAAAGACATAAAGATTTGTTTAAATTTGATTCCTATAAAGGATATCTACTGTTATTTGAACTAGCTCGACTGCTCTCATATATAAATAAAACGCAGCTTTTTAATCATTTTGAAGATGATATTTAAAAGGTAACATACTATGACATAAGAAAAAAGAGAGAGAAATGAATAATAAAAGAACATTTTTTATAATTGCTTTCATTTCTAATCGATATATTAAAGATGTTTTATGAATAAAGAGAAAAATAGAAATTTATCATTCAAAGCACATAAGACTGTTCTATTCTATGTTATTATTCGACTATATTAAATATGATCATCACTGACTGATCTTAAAATATAAAATTTCCTTAGATTATTCAAATCCTGTTTTTAACCAAAGAAAAATAGAAACAATATAGAGAAAACTTTGAAGAATTATTGTACAAATTTAAAGATTAAATAGAACTATTGTCTCAAAGAGATCGACAAATTTCATGGTATTTTTATGAATATTATTTCAGAAGGTAATGAACTAATGTAATAGTATTTATTCTGTGTAAATCAATCTATCATAATTTAGTATTAAATAAAAAAAAGTCTGTAACATTGATAATACCATCATATTTGAGATAATGAGAATAACGTTGAATTGAAACTATTTTGGCATGTGTTCTGATTATTCATTAAATCTAACATTTTGAATGTCTCACAGTTGTTGTTTATTTATTTAATTCGTTTATTTTGCGATATGTACTATAAATATATGAAAAAAGAAAAATATTATTTATTTCAGGGTTCTTTTCTCTAAATAGATTCGATCGTCATGAGAGGAAACCTATCAAAAGTAGAATAATCTACTCGCTTTATTTAACCTTGAACTTAACCGACTCAGTTGACATTGTGTGAAAGATATTCCTTTCTTTAAATACCTATAACAGAATGAATATCTCAGTCAGAATTCTTAGATTTATTTTTCGAGAATTGATAGATGATTTCAAATTCTTTTTTTATCCAATTCGGATGAGAACTTGAAAAGGGAAAATAGAAAATCGATTTGATATTGAATAAATAGAGAAAATTTATTCACTTAATGTATTGTATTAAAAAAAAACAAAATATACCACAAGATGCAGCGTGAAATGTTCTACAATTCACACAGAAAAAACTTATTGTAATTGTTTTCAAAAAAAGTAAAATTCTGCGAGACCAATTTTCGCACGGTCAAAATTTGGTCACTCAAAATTTTGAAAACAAAATAATCGATCGTATCTAAATTGTAGAGCTTTTCATGCTGCGTCTTGTGGTATATTTTGCTTTTTTTTTAAATACAATATATTAAGTGAATAAAAATTGAAATGCAAAGCGTGGCCATTCAACCTGACGCACCCGTTACTTTTTCTGTTATACTGCAATTTATTGTAGTCGTTCATAACTTTTTAATTGAATGTTCAATGAGACGTGAATAAGATCAGGTGTGTTGATTTAGAGATCGATTTTTAGTTTGCTTGTTTCTAATACATACAATAATTACTAGTTATCTAAATCTTCTACTGATAAATATTCCAAGTATATGCAAAAAAAAAAAGATTTTTATTTTAATAATTATGAAATATGATATTTCACTTCTTATTAAAGTATATTAGTCTCTTCAGCACCGGTATTATATAATCAATGAGATATCGAATATTGATGAGATAAAATATAAAACGATTTAATTAAAACTGTAATTTTCCGGTGCATTATATGTAGAATTCCATGATAATTGAATACCATCCAATGAAATTGGTAACATTGATGATACATTTCCAGTTAATTTTCCAAGTTTTTTCAATCGTTTTTGTCGTAATAATTTTGCTGTTGAAAGTGGTGGTAATCGACTATTATTATTATTTGTTTTTGGTGGAGTTTTAATTGCTAAAACACTGTCTTTGAATAATGCACGATCCAAACTTGTAAAATCCTAATTGACACAAAAGAAAAAAAGAAAAAAACAAAATAAATAATTGAATTTTTAAATAAAATCAATCATCAAATCAAAGTGCATATGATTATTTTAAAAACAAATCATGTGAAAATCAAACCAAGTGTTAACCTCAAAACGCGTTTCAACATTTTGAAAATGTGAACGATCCGTTTGATTGGTACCCGAACGAATACTAGGCAACTATAATTGTTTTTATTTTGAATTTTACTAATAAATAAAAAAATTTAAAAAAAAACCTATACCTTAGTTTTTGTTGACATACTCTTCGTTGTCATAACTATAAAAAGAAAAAAAGACCGAACATATATTTTATTATATTTTTTCCTTCTAATGATAATCTTATACTTGTTCTTTCTAATGGACTAGTTGGAGTTGGTGATGAAAAACATTCATATCGATGAAAATTATTCCATCCATTTATTTTACATGCTTTTGAACAAAATGATGTTTTTTGACAACGTTTACAAAGAGTAAGTCGTACACCAGTGCTTCGGCCACATGTAGCACAATAACGAAATTGACCAGTTATTCTAATACTTTAAATTTTTTATTTTTATAATAGGAATTCAATTAAATTAAATTTTACTTTGAATTATCATCAGAAGTTTTTTCTGTCAGCAATGAATGAGCTCGTGATATGGCACTTTGTGCAAATAAATTAGCAGGACTTGGTGTTTGATTATGACCATCTAGACATCAAAGAAAAAAACATTTGAAGAAATATAAAATCTTTTGTTTTTTCTTTCTTCAAAATTTCAAATATACCTAATGTTGGTGTTGGTAAACGTAAAAATTCATCATGTTTTGGAGTTTCTTCTCGAAATCGTTTAGCTATATAAGCAAGTAATTCTTTTCTTTCACTATGTATAACACGTTCTTGATTTGTTAATTGATGATATGGAGTTTGAGATATTCGAGTATCCTATTATTTAAAAAAATTTATCATCTTAGAATTAATGAATAAAAAAAAAACTTACAGCTGAATACATAAAATGAGCAAAATCAACTGATGAACCTAAAGTATTTTTTGGACCAAATCGAATTGGATAAAAAACTTTAGGATTTTTTTCTATAAGACGTTCAATCTATAATGAATAATTAAATTTTTGATTTAATTTAATTTAAGTTTTTTTTTTTAATTTACTAATTGTAATCGTTTTGTATAAGTCCAACCAGGTTCATAAAATGTTGATAATATAGTACATAATGCATTTCCATTTCCTAAACCAAGTGTTGTTGATGGATCAGTAGTTTCATGATTGAGAAGTAAATCAACTAAAGGTTGATTGCCCAAAGCAATAGCAAGTGTAAGTGGTGTTTGACCATTACAAACAGAATTTGGATTTGCTTGATATTCAAGAAGAAGTCGAACAATATCTAATGTATCTGATGTTGCTTCTCGTGTACATGCTATATGTAAAGGTGTACGACCATGTTGTTGTTGAATATCAATCTAAAATTTAAAGAGATTTTTTTTTATTTGATAAAATAAAAACAAAATTATTTTACTTTTTTATTCGAATTGATAATAAGTGGATCAATAAGTGAAAAATATTCTTTATTACCCGATAATGATTCAGCATTAACATCAGCACCATATTCTAATAATAGTCGAATAATATCAATTGCATATTTCGATGAAGAACCACAAGCAATATGTAATGGAGTTAAACTTGCATGACGAATAGGATCTAATTGACAATTAACTTGAGCTTTTGTCTTTAATAATAATTCAACCATATGTTTATCACCAGCTCGAACAGCTAATGCAAGTACAGGTAAAGGCCAATCACTAAGTGATGGATCAGCACCACGACGAAGAAGAAGTCTTATAAAAGCAAAAAAAAAACATGAACATAGATAAATTGAATATTAATAAAGACATACACAATAAGTGAATAAATAGATTCACGAAATTTTTCATCACGAATACGTTCACGAAGATTATCTGTTAGTTCATATCCATATGAATCTATTCAAATT